CACATGGAGCATATTTGAATTTGGAAAAGGAAAAGTTAAAAAAAAATAAACTGGGTACCCCTAATATGGATTATATCATGGATACTGATAGCATTTGGAAGTGAAAGGAATGAAGTTATCTGTTTTCAGACTCAGTTTGCATCAGTGAAAACATGTAATTCACATCAATAGAACAAAGGAAAAGAGCCACATGATCATCTCTATTGATGCAAAAAAAGCATTTGATAAAATCCAACTCCTTTCTTGATGAAAACCCTACAGAAGATCAGAATAGAAGAGAAACTCCTCAGTATAATTCAGGGCATATATGAAAAGCCAACAGCAAATATTTACTTAGTGGAGAAAGACTGAGAGCTATCCCCTTGAAATTAGGAACAGGACAAGGGTGCTCACTCTCACCACTTCTATTCAATATTGCATTAAAAGTTCTAGCCAGAGCAATAAGACAAGAAAAAGAAATAAAAGATAGCCAGATTGGAAAAGAAGAAGTAAAACTATTTCTATTAATGGATGATATAATCCTATATATAGAAATCCCAAAAAGTCCACAAGAAATCTTCTAAAGCTAATAGAGGAGTTTGGCAAAGTTGCAGGGCTCAAGGTCAACAACAAAAATCATCTGGGTTTCTATACACCAGCAATGAGAAACCTGAAAGGGAAATTAGAGGAATGATTAACTATAAAACACTGCTGAAAGAGATTAAAGAATTCTTAAATAAATGGAAAGATGTTCTATGTTCATGGATTGAAAAACTTAATATTGTTACGGTGTCAATACTACTGTGGTGTCACTGGAGGGGGTGACGCAGGGGATGCAGACTGCACCAAGTGACACTGCCAGAGGGGGTAACACCAAAAATTATTGTCTATAAAATTTTTGTGTATTGTTTCAGCAGAAATTATTATTTTTTACAAGCATATTCCTGTAATTAGTTATAACAACAAACACATTTTTTGTAAGCCCAGCTTACATGTATCAGTATACCTCCAAGGCTAAAACTCTATGCTCCTTTACTTTTTGAACCCTCTAATGTGCTCCAGTCAGAACTGTCCCTCTTCTTACCCAATTACAATGATGCTTTGAATATGTGATTTTCACCTGCACCTGCCAAAGGACTGCAATGTTGTTTTTGTTGCTGCCAGTATTTTTATAGTTGTTGATTTTGTCAAATTTTCTGTGTTTTAGCTACAATATTGTGGTAATTAGTATCTGTGAACCTATATCAATAACTTTTTTTGCGAATGAAGTAGTAATTAAAGGAAAAGAAGGAGTGATATATGGGAATTATGATTTATGAGTAACATTAGTACAAAAAACATTACTAAGGGTTCTGTATGGTCTGGTACGGAAGGAGGTCCATGGGGCAGTGACACCATGAGTTACCATACTGAGTGACACAAACTCTAGTGACATCACTGAAATACTACCCAGTCAGTGATCTACAGATTTAAGACAATCCTAATAAAAATTCCAACAACCTTCTTTACAGAAGTAGAAAAACCAATCCTCAACTTTATATGGAATGGCAAGAGGCCCTGAATAGCTAAAGCAATGCTGAAAGAGAAGAACAAAGTAGGAGGAGTCAAACTTCCTGATTTTAAAACACATTATACAGCTACAGTAACCAAAACTGCCTGGTACTGGTATAACAATAGACACATAGACCAATGGAATAGAACTGAGAGTTCAGAAATAAACCCACACATCTCTGGCCAAATGATTTTTGAAAAAAGTGCTAAGTCCATTCAGTGAGGAAAGAAGAGTCTCATCAGTAAATAACGTTGGGAAAATTTGATATCTATATGCAGAAAAATGAAACACGATTCATACCTCACACTATACACAAAAACAAACTTAAAATGGATTAAGGACCTAAATGTGCAAACTAAAACCATAAAACATTTAGAAGAACAAGCTGGGGCAATGCTTTCAGACTTAGCTTTTAACAATGGATTATCTAATATAATAACAAAAGCACAAACAGAAAAAGACAAAAGAAATAAATGGGACCTCATGAAAACTGAAAACTTTTGTTTATCAAAAGATTTACCAAAAAAGTGAAAAGACAAGCTACTGACTGGGAGAATATCTTCAGAAGTCATATATCCAACAAAAATCTAAGAAACAAAATATATGTAAAACTCTGATGATGTAACAACAAAAAGACAACCCAATCATAAAACTGTCAAAGGACTTGAATACACATTTCATCAAAGAGGACATTCAAGTGGCCATCAAACACATGAAAATATGCTCAGCATAATTAGCCACCAGAGAGATGCAAATCAAAACCACAATGAGATACCTTTTCATTCCCTCCCACTAGGATGGCTAAGATTAAAAAAAAAAAAATGAAAATAATAAGAGTTGGTGAGGATGTGGGGAAATTGAAACCATTATCCATTGCTGGTGGAAATGCAAAATGGTACAGCCATTATAGAAAACAGTGTGGTGTTTCCTCAAAAAACTAAAAATGGAACTACCATATGACCTAGCAATTCCACTTCTAGGTATATACCCAAAAGACTTGAAAGCAGAGACTCAACTACTTGTACACCAATGTTCACTGCACCACTATTCACAATAGTCAAAAGTCAAAACAACCTAAATGCCCATCAACAGATGAATAGATAAACAAAATGTGGTACATACATAAAATGGAATACCACTCAGCCAGTAGGAGAAACATAATCTTTATATATGCTACAATATGGATGGAGCTGGAATATATTATGCTGAGTGAAATAAGTCAGTCACAAAATGACAAATATTATATGACCTCACTTATATAAAAAGACAAGAAAGACAAATGTATAGAGAACAAAGCTTGTTAGTGGTTATCCAGGATGGGAAGAAGGGGAAAAGGGAGGGTTAATGGTGATGGAAATACTGCGTTGACTAAGGGTAGAGTACAGCCAATTATTGTAATTGCTGTTAATAAGCTGTACACATGTAAAAAGTTGAATTGGAAAAAGTTGTGGGATAGATATATTTACAACAATGACAAAAAACAGTAGCTTCTGAGGCTGCGTATGTACAACCAAAAACCTCATGGGATTTGGTTTCTTGGTTTGGAGGTTTAGGGTCATGGTTTCATGGGACATCCCAGTTAATAGGCCTAATAACATGTTTAATGCCTCTGTTCTAGTTCGATGCATAGTGCCTGGGATTTTAAAAGCTTGCAAGCGACCTCTAAGGCACAACGATTTGTCTCTATTCATGTGGAACAACAGAGGAAGAGGGAGAGTCAGGAATAGGAGGAGGATATGGAATGTGTGGCTAATTGCCTTATGAACAACTGCCTCCTTTGCCATGAGACCACAAGAAATGGATGGTGCCTGGTTACCATTACTGAACATTTTGGTCAAAGATTCCATAAAAGAATCCTGATCAAAAGGGGGAAAATGTAGAACAGAATTTCAAATTCTGATGGACTCCAGACTTCCTGAAGCCGTGAAGGTTGGATGAACCCATGAAACTATTGCCCTAAGGTAATCTTTAAAACTTAAACCAAAAATATTCCCTTGAGTCTTCTTAAAAACCAAACAATCATTTAGCTAAAATAGTAAAAAAAAAGTCTGCCTTGAGTATTATGCTCTTTTAACAAATATCTATATGGAATCAAATTGGCAACAGCGACTCGAAAGATTAGATAAGAACCTTAGGGAGCAGTGAATTTATGTTAATGTGTGAAGAACAGCTCAGAAAAAGAGGGTGAGAATGATTACACAACTCGAAGAATGTAATAACTGTCAGTAAGTGATATGTGTAGAAACCGTTTGTGTTTTGCTGTGTATCAACAACAAAGTGAATAAAATCATGAAAAAAGAAAGGAAAACATGCAACTGATGGATTCAGTCCTGTTATAAAGCAGTTGAAATCTCTTCTAATATAGTATAGGGAATTAGAATGGATGCTTCTCTCATTGGGTTTGTATTGAGTAGCTCGACTACTAGCCAAATGATTGGTGGTTCGAACCTACCCAGAGGTGCCTCGGGAGACAAGCTTGGTGATCTGCTTCTGAAAGGTCTCAGCCTTGAAAACCCTATGGAGCGGATCTCCTCTGCACACATGAGGTCACCATGAGTGGGAATAGACTGGACGGGAACTAACCAACAGCTAGGTAAAGCTTGTTTAACTCATTCTCCTCTCACTGGTCCTTTGTCTCCTTAATTATTTAGGAATAAAAAGGTCCATGACAAATTTCAGATTCTGAGAGGGGAGACAAAGGAAGAGCAGTAAGACTCTGGGGAAACTTAAAAGCTTTGAAGCCCCTCTGGCTGACCCTGGTTTGTGCCCCTCACCACGGCAGTAGCTCTTGTCATCATTGAAAACACATGGCCATGATTCCTGTATCTGCGCCGGGGAGGAAAAACAGGTAGAGGCTTAAGAACTGGATATCTATCTCCTTGTTCTTCATTTTCCAGGCAGGAAGATGATGGGACTCTGGCTGCAGCAAAAGGATATTTTCAGATACTGAGGTGTTGCCTGAGACAGCTGGTCAGAGAAGTTAAGAGGGAGAGGGAAGAGGGGAATCTAGATCCAACCCCTATGACTGGTCGCTGCTTTCCCCGCAGGACTGTGCATTGATTGACCTCCCTTCCCTTGCACTTCCCTTCTTCTCCCCTCCATTCGCTGTTTTCCGACCCCCAGTTTGGCCTTTCGTAGTAAGAGGTCAGTATGTTTTCACATTTGGGAAATTTCATTCAAGAATTTTTGTCAATGGACAAGGCATAAGAAGCCCTTCCATTTTAGGGCTCGTTGACGTCACCAAGGAGGCGATAAATATCTGTTGATATAATTGGATGTGAGATTCGGTGTTGAGATAGCAAAACTCTGCCCCTCTTTTCTCTGGCAGGGCCCTGTGATTTATGCAGGAGCAGAGGCAGCACGCAATCGAGCTGTCAAGAGAGCGTCAGCTTATTAGGCAAATGCTGCGTGGTTTCTGAAGAGGGTCGACGCTATAAAATCCCACTTCAGGCTCTGGTGTGGAGAAACTCAGAGCCCAAGTCCGTAGACAGACTGAAGAGAGAGTGAAGAGAGAAAGAAAAAGAGAGTGGGAACAGAAAGGAGAAGGGAAGAAAACCTCCTGAAAAAACCCGGGGAGAGGTACCTCTGCAGAGAGGCGGCAGCTGTCCGGCTCACCTGCGGAAGCGCCTTGGAAGGTAGGGAGCGCTTAGACGGAAACGCGCCACCAACTTTGCGCTGCTTGAGCTGCGGCGGTGTGCGCTGCGGAGCCAGCTGTCCCTGTGCAGGCGTGTATGCGTGTGCGTGTGTGTGTTCGTTGACTGTGCCTCCAGGATTCCAACAGTAGCTGAGATGTAGGAAAAGCAAACTTAGACAGCTGCTCCTTGTTACCTGACCTGCCAGTTGCGGCTCGCTGGCTGTGTAGACGAGCCTCCAATCGACCCCGACTCCCTAGCGATGGAAGAAAGGGTGGGGATGGAGGGTGAGCAGGACGTACTTCTCAATTTGAGGGGAAATACAGAAACATCCGGAAAAGGAGGTTCCCAGCGGGTGAAATCTTAAATCTGTGGCTCTCTAGCGCACAGGGAATCAGTCTTGGGGATCATTAGGTAGAGGACTCAGGGACCGCCCCTTCGGGGGTCTCAAAAGGAGGAGTGACACTCCAGCCTGGTGAGGGGCTGCGCTTTGGCACCGAGCCCCGTAGAAGCCCCTTTCTTGTTCCCCCTATGATCCCAGCCCTAGAAGTCCCCTTTCTTGCTTCCCCTAATATCCCAGCCCCGTAAGTCCTAGACCTGGCGCTTCAGCACCACGGACAGCGCCCGCTCGCGCCCCGGAGTCCGCCAGAGCCGGGCACTTCTCTGCGTGTCGTGCAGGGCTAGACCTCCGAGTGCATCTCTTGCTTGAGCTAAACTCTAACCAACTCTTCGTTTTTCTCTTCTCTTCTCTCATTCTGCCCTCCGCCCACCTCTGTGCTGCAGCGAGCGCCCTTAACATGCGGCTTCCGCTGCTCATGTCCGCGGGCCTTCTGCTGGTGGCTCTGCTGCCCTGCCCGCCATGCCGGGCCCTCCTCAGCCGGGGGCCCGCCTCCGGCGCCCGCCAGGCGCCGCAGTACTCCCAGCCCCTGGATTTCTTCCAGCCGCAGCCGCAGCCCGAGCAGCCCCAGCAGCCTCAGCCTCGGCCAGTCCTGCTCCGCATGGGGGAAGAATACTTCCTCCGCCTGGGGAACCTCAACCAGAGTCCCGCTGCTCCCGTCTCGCCCACCTCCTCACCCCTCGCCGGTGGCAGCCGCCGCTCGCGGGACAAGGCGGCCGCCAACTTTTTCCGCGCGTTGCGGCAGCAGCTGCCGCTGCCCCGGCGCTCGCTCAACAGCCCCGCGGGTCCCGGGGAGCGCGGCGCAGAGAGCACCTTGGGCGGCCACCAGGAGGCACCGGAGAGGAAGAGGCGGTCGGAGGAGGCTCCCATCTCGCTGGATCTCACCTTCCACCTCCTCCGAGAAGTCCTGGACATCGCCAAGGCTGAGCAGTTAGCCCAGCAAGCTCACAGCAACAGGAAACTGATGGAGATTATTGGGAAATAGAAACGGTCCGTGCGGCCAAAGAGATTCTGCATTTAGCACAAAAATATTTAAAAAATAACAAAAATAGAGTATTCTGTACCATAGCACTCCTCTGATACCATTTGTTTATTTTTATATAGCTTGAAACATAGAGGATGTACAGCAAGACAGCCTATAATCCTCAATTAGCATGCACAAAGTGTAATCACGTGCAGTAACAACAAAAGAAATGTTATTTGTATTGTCTACTTTTAGTTTTCACTTCCAGGTCTCTTTAGCGGTGTTTAACCAGACTGTAGACACGGGAGATTTGAGCTAAGGGTAACGCTGTTCTCTTGGGTGGGTGGAGGATGCAAAATCTGTAAGTTCTTTTGAACCAACTTTTTCTTGTAAACGTTTCAGTAATAAAACATCTTTCCAATCCTTGGTCAATTCGATTGTGTAAGAGAATGTTGAATATTTATATTTTTAATAAAAGCTGCAAAGGTAATCATGATTTCAGTTTTCCTCAGGCACGGGACATTCTCAGCTAGGAACATTCTCAAGCTGTCACCAGCCCAATAAAAAACAAAAACAAAACCCCTAAACAACATTACTGACAAAAAAGCTCCCTGCATTTTAGTTTTTACTAAAAACGCAGACATACAATGTCAGTGGCTCTCACAGATCTGTAATCAGCCTGGGCTCATCTCTACCTCAGATTACAATTCCTTTGAGATTGAGTTAATTGGGAAAGTTGCTTCCAGCTCTAAGACTTGGTAATTCTATAAATGAAGGACTGATCCATAATGGAAATAACATCTAAATCTGATTAGCTATAAGATGTAAAATAATTGGGAAGAGAGGAGAAGGGTCGAGGCAGGGTATTGCTCCAAAATTTACTGCCAAAATGCCACCTGTTTCCTATGAGCGAGACTCACTTTATCAAGATACTACTTGGACACCGTAACATTTTTTTTCCCTAAACTATTTCCCAATGCCTACTTCTAATATGAGAAACTTAATATCATCTCCACTTCAAACAGCTAAATTTAGTTGCTATAAAATGGCACTTGTGAGAATTTTTCCTTCAAAGGACATTTTGGCTTTTTATAACTTCACAGATACCCTCCACATTTTTATCTATGCCAACCGAATCACTTGAATTCTTAGTAATATAAACTGTGCACCTCTAAAATTGAACAGTACATCTAATGCTTTTTAGAATGCATTCTCCTTTGGTAGCTTAGTTATAGCTTAAAAAATTCAATCGAATGTTTAATACTTCAAAACCAATTTGGGAAAGAAAAGCAAGTAATTTGGGCTGCTTTAAATACACTTGACGATTAGGTTCATAAGAAAATATGAAACACCAACTAAACCAGTATAAGACTACATTTTTAAAAACAGCATTTATTTCAGAGTTTATACAAAGTAGAGTTATACTATGTTCTGAAGGAGGGATGATGGTAGGACAAATAAGCATGACTCAAACACATATCTGTGTGTGGGTGTGTTGTGTGTGTGTATACATATATATTTAAATACACGCAGTTATTCTACAATTCACCGAACTGGTGCCTCAGTGGATACATGAAACAGAGACAGTTCCCGCTGTAAGGTCTTCTTCAATTAAAGTGCCTGATATCTGAATATCTAAAACTGAGATTAGAAAAAATGTCACAAGAGATGTCCTAGACCTTCACCTTCCTGACTATGAAAGTGTCACCAAATTCGAAGAACATTTCTGGATATACATCCAGAGAATCCATTATGGAAAAGAGGAAACATTTGTGAAACATTTCATACCTCAATGATTTACCTTTTGTCCGTATATTGCTAAATCAGTCACTTCTGAATTAACACTGAATTTCACTGACCAGCTGCATCGTTAAAGAGGAAAGGGGAAAAGAACTACTGTGATATAATAACAAAAAGCCAGTACCTATTAGAGACAAGAGCATAGTGCCCACTTTTTTCAACAACTACCACTTGCCTACTGATGCCGAACACACATACCACACCTATACACCCTTCATCACGCTTCCCACCCGACAGGAGATTTGTATAAGATCAGGTTTCTTTTTTCCAATGCCTTCTGCAACTAGTTTCTCAAAGTATTATTTTCTCTCAATATGTTAGATAAGTCATCTGGAATTAAAGTTTTGGGTTTTTTTTTTTTTCCCAGAAATCCTGTTCAGAGGTCCCTTTCATCATCTGCATCAAATTAATTTCATCTGGGTTCCCTGCTGCCTCTGTGTATCTCTGCCAGGCAGACAGAGGGGCAGCAGCTGGAATGAACATCATTCACTCAGGGAGTTCAACCAGGAGAAGGAGAAGATGTGGCGAGCTGGCTCAGAATCAGCTCCCTCCCTGCTCCCTGAAGCTGCAGCTCGTCCCTGGAGAGGAGGGGCCTCAACTCCAATCTGTAACAGAAGAAACGGGAATTAGAGGAAGAGGGGGCTTGTCCTTTTAGGATTGGTCCAGCCACTTCTCTACTGAGGAGAAAGGATTAAAAATAATAATTATATGGCACATAATTATTATCAGAGATGAAAAGCAAGCTCAGGTTATCTGGGCTATGGCCAAGAGCCATGAAAGCAATTCACTCACCATCCAAAAAGGGGCAAGAATATTGCATGCAGTGGAGGAAAGTTCTTGGAAAAAACAGTCCAGGCTATTCTACTTTTTATTTTCTCTTACAAGTCCACTTGTATGTGATTTACTGAGATGAAGATCGTATTGAAACTAAAAAGAGTTTGGGTTTAGAAAAGCCTGCAGACACACTCACAATAATATTCCAGGACATATTAATATAATCTTTTCACTGCTAAAGTGAGAAGTTTCTACCAAGATGTGAATATATATACATATACATGTGTATATATTTTTTTTTTCCAGAAGTAGATTTCCAGGCCTTTCTCCCTAGTCTAGTCTGGAAACTCTGCTGAAACCTGTTGAGCATCATAGCAACACATAGACTCCACTGAGAGAAGAGTGATGGCTGCGCATGAGGTGCACTGACCTGGAATCCAACTCAGGCCTCTGGCATGAAAGGCAAGAATTCTACCAGCGAACCACCAGTGTACATGTGTGAGTGCGTACGTACATATATATACATATACATACACACCCTTAGTATAATTTTTGCAAAACTGCAGGCTTAGTTTTGAGCAAATCATGAAGGCAGTTTTTTTCTCCATGAAATAAAATCTTATCAATATTTCTAAAAAGATAGCTATCTTTATAAATATCTGACAGACATAGATTTTGAAGTAACTGATCAACTTAATCTCATAAGGAAACTCCTTTATGGTGTTTGGGGGTTTAAAACATGACTTCATGGAATGAGGGAGAATCATAAAGAAGTCTCACTGAAATACATTTGACGTATGACTCAAACTCCCTACATTTAAAAGCACCATGACACACAGTTCTTTCTAGGAGAACAACTGAAGATGGACAAACACGTTCCGATGACTTCACCACCCCACTGGATTAGAATGCTGATTTCAAAGCAATGAGGTGGTCACATGCACTCAGCTCAGAAGATTTCGCAGAGCTGCTATATGAATATACAATGCCTGGCCCAGGCAAAGCACAACTTTGGTTAAATATGTTGTTTTGTTGCCACTCAAAATAGCATAGGGTGAAAACTGAGTGCTTGCACCTTACTAGATTTCACTCTAAATACATGTTTTGAGGTGATGCTTCGAGACCAATAAAATTATTCGAAGTGTTTATGGCTTTGAGAGCGTTATCCTTCCCAGTACCTTATCTGCTCCCTGATAGAAGATTCAGAGGGCCAGGGAATCATACTAGCCCCAGTGGAATAAAACTGAAGCATATAGTTTTTGATGAAGGAATAGTTTAACATTAAGTGAAATTGAGCTTTTTAAAAAAAGATGTTACTGGATTCTGTTGGTAATTGGTGAGATACCGCAATGTCCTTGAAACTGAGGTCGAATAAACATCATCCTGACAGAATCTTGTGCATATTTGTAAACTTTAAATTCTTCTCTTCCCCATCATAGTCATCTTGCTCTCACCAAAGCTAAAACAAACAAATGATTTGGGCATATCACTGATGGGTGTTAAAGACTTTTTTATGCCCATTCTGTATAAGTGAATAATGAATTCTGCTTAGGCGAGCAGGCCTAGGGTCCATTTTGTACCCTCTTTTTCTTGAAGAGGAAGCCCTTTGTGGCGCAGTGGTTAAGCACTCAACTGCTAACCAAAATGTCAGTGGTTCGAACCTACCAGCCACTCTGTGGGAGAAAGATGTGGTACTCTGCTTCCATAAAGATAACAGCCTTGGAAACCCTATAGAGCAGTTCTATTCAGTCCTATAGGGTCACTATGAGTTGGAATCAACTCAATGGCAACGGGTTTCGGTGTTTTCTTGAAGCCAATCCCTAATCTAGAGGAAACTTCCATGGCAGCTATTCTGGAACAACTAAAGGGTAAAATCAGTTTAAGATATTTTCTGTAAAGGGATATAATCTTTGGGAAACTGCTGGTGTCTAACAAGCCATTGAGATTGCTTTTATTTTTGTGCTTTTTCTGCACTAAAAAACAAAAAACAAACCGGTTGCTATTGAGTCAATTAGGACTCGTAGCGACCCGATAGGACAGAGTAGAACCGCCCCATAGGGTTTCCAAGGAGTGGCTGGTGGATTCGAACTGCCCACTTTCTGGTTAGCAGCTGTAGCTCTTAACCACTGTGCCGCCAGGGCTCTTTTCTGTACTAGGTCTTAAAATTTGTCTTCCATTTAAAACTTTTTAGCTGTTAATAGCCCATAGCCTTCAAAATTTGTGATGCGACAGTTTGGATTTGCTGCTTTTAAATCCCTATGTTTCTAGGCAATTGTTAGATTTCTCCTCCAAACGCTATGGACTGATGTTGTCTTTCAGAAAAGAAAGGCCAGAGCCATAAGGGGGTCAAGAGGTACTGGGGTTATCCTGAGTGTGCTTAGGTGATTACACAATGTCCTTGGCCTTGTTTCTATCAACTGAAAGACCCACGACCCATCTTAGCGAGGAAGTTCTGTGCAAAGAGGCTTAGCCTGATTTTGAATCCCAGACCAACTGCTTATTAGCTGCATAACTTGGACAAGTTACTTATCCTCTCCACGCCTTAGTCTTCTCCCCTGTAAACTAGAAATGAGAACTTACTTCACAAGGTTGTCGAAAAGACTGAATAAGTAATAGGCACAAAGCATCTTGCACACACCTCACATATGTTTTATTAATGTTCATTTCCTTTCTTCTGTCTTTCTTACATCAGTAAAGAGGCTCCTCTGCTATGCCGAATGACTTGTGAGATTGTTTATGATGAACTATTTACAATAGAAGGAGACCTGGGGAGCACAGTGGATAAGCTCTTGGCTGCTAACCCAAGCTTTGGAGTTCAAACCCACCAGTACTCCGCAGGAGAAAGATGTGGCAGTCAGCTTCCATAAAGATTAATGCTGTTGTTAGCTGCCATCAACAAGGTTCCGACCCGTAGAGACCCTATCAATGTACAACAGAATGAAACACTGCCCAGTCCTGCACCATCCTCACAATTGTTGCTATGTTTGAGCCCATTGTTGCAACCACTGTGTCATTCCATCTCATTGAGGGTCTTCCTCTTTTTTGCTGACCCTCTATTTTACCAAATATGATGTCCTTCTCCTGTCCTTCTCCAGGGACTGGTCCCTCCTGATAACATGTCCAAAGCACATGAGATGAAGTCTCCCCATCCTTGCTTCTAAGGAGCATTTTGGCTGTATTTCTTCCAAGACAGACTTGTTTGTTCTTTGGCAGTCCATGGTATATTCAATATTCTTTGCCATCACCATAATTCAAAGGCATCAATTCTTCTTTGGTCTTCCTTATTCACTGTCCAGCTTTCGCATGCATATGAGGCAATTGAAAATACCATGGCTTGGATCAGGTACACCTTAGTCCTTAAAGTGACATCTTTGCTTTTCAACACTTTAAAGAGGTCTTTTGCAGCACAGTTGCCCAATGTAATATGTCCTTTTATTTCTTGACTACTGCTTCCATGGGCATTGACTGTTGATCCAAGTAAAATGAAATCCTTGCCAACTTCAATATTTTCTCCATATATCATGATGTTGCTTACTGGTCCAGTTGTGAGGATTTTTGTTTTCTTTAAGTTGAGGTGCAATTCATACTGAAGGCTCTAGTCTTTGATCTTCATCAGTAAGTACTTAAAGTCCTCCTCACTTTCAGCAACAAGATTGTGTCATCTGTATATCGCAGGTTGTTAATGCGTCTTCCTCCAATCCTGATGCCTCATCTTCTTCATATAGTCCAGCTTCTTGGATTATTTGCTCAGCATACAGATTGAATAAGTACGGGGAAAAGATATAACCCTGACACACACGTTTCCTGACTTTAAACCATGCAGTATCCCCTTGTTCTGTCCAAATGACTGCCTCTTGGTCTATGTACAGGTCCCTCATGAGCACAATTAAGTGTTCTGGAATTCCCATTCTTTGCAAAATTATCCATAATTTGTTATGATCCAGACAGTCAAATG